TTTTTTTTTTTTTTTTTTTTTTTGAGACAGAGTCTCACTCTGTCACCAGGCGCCAAGCTGGAGTGCGGTGGCACAATTTCGGCTCACTGCAACTTCTGCCTCCCGGGCTCAAGCAATTCTCCTGCCTCAGCCTCCCGAGCAGCTGGGACTACAGGCACGCGCCACCACGCCTAACTAATTTTTGTATTTTTAGTAGAGACTGGGTTTCACCATGTTGGCCAGGATGGTCTCGATCTCTTGAGCGCGTGATCTGCCCGCCTCGGCCTCCCAAAGTGCTGGGATTACAGGCTTGAGCCACCGTGCCTGGCCTTATATTTATTTTTTGAGATGGAGTCTCACTCTGTTATCCAGGCTGGTGTGCAATGGTGCAATCTTGGCTCACTGCAACCTCCGCCTCCCGGGTTCAAACAATTCTCCTGCCTCAGCCTCCCAGGTAGCTGGGATTACAGGTGTGTGCCACCATGCCTTGCGAATTTTTTTTGGCATTTTTAGTAGAGATGGGGTTTCACCATGTTGGTCACGCTGGTCTCGAACTCTTGACCTCAGGTGATCTGCCTGCCTCGGCCTCCCAAAGTGCTGGGATTACAGGTGTGAGCCAACACGCCCGGCCAAAACTCTCAGTAATTTTTTTTCCCCAGTCTACAGTGCCTCGGAACGCTGAATAATTTTTTTTTTTGAGACAGAGTTTCGCTGTTGTTGCCCAGACTGGAGTGCAATGGCACAATCTCAGCTCACCGCAACCTCTGCCTCCTGGGTTCAAGCAATTCTCCTGCCTCAGCCTCCCGAGTAGCTGGGATTACAGGCACGCACCATCATGCCCAGCTAATTTTTGTATTTTTAGTAGAGACGAGGTTTCACCTTGTTGACCAGGATGGTCTCGATCTCTTGACCTCGTGATTCACCCGCCTCGGCCTCCCAAAGTGCTGGGATTATAGGCGTGAGCCACCGCGCCCAGCCAGCTCAATAATTTTTAAGAGTACAAATTGGGTTCTGAGACCAGAGGGTTTGAGAGCAGCTGGCTTAATGCCCGGCCACCGTGCTGCTCAGAGAGCCCCATGTTAGACCCGGTCACCACTGAATTCAGCTCCTAGGATGGTGCCTGGCACTTTGCAGAAAGATGTACAATTTAGCACTTGCCAACATGAATCCGACTGCACAGAAACTGTGAGGCTGACCCCAGAGGGCTCCACCCAACACGGGGGCGGGATCACCTCGGCCGAGTACCTGGGAGATGAAGTCCTTCTCCAGCTCCTCCTTGGGCTTGTCTGAGCACCTCGAAGGCTCCTCGCACTCCCCCTCAACACTGTAGTTCTGTGACCGGATCTCCACGAGGTTGAAACGATGGTCTCCAGAGCCCACGGACACCGCTGGGGAGAAGACGGCAGTGCAGGTGAGCGCCTTGCCCGTCTGTCCCAACCACCCTGCAGAGACTGGGGACACCTGGGGCAGGAGAAGCCCTAGGGACTCACCCCTCTGCACTGCAGGGCCAGCCTCCCACTTGGGTACCCGCCGGGACACCCCACAACTCAAACACGCCACAACAGCTGGTGAGCTGCACACACTAAGTCCAAGGGTTTTTTTAAGTGGGGGGTGTCTTTCTGAGGGACCGCTTGTCTTCCTGAACAGGGAAGTCTGTGAGGATTTGGAGACCGTGGACTAGAAGGAGCCAGACACCCATCTCGTTAGGGTGGGGGGAGCAGCAGGACTCATCAGAGCTGGGTGCATGCCGGGCTCCATGGCTCCTGAAACGGGTGATGCCAAACGCTCACCTGCGTGGGTCAGCACAGCATCAAGAACCATGCAGGGGCAGTGCCAGTGGGACCTGGACAACGCCAGTCCCTCACGCTCTGCCTGCAGGGCCACAGGAAGCCGCCATGTGACACACATGGCCCAACAGATGGCGGCTGTCATCAGACCCTGGGTTTCCCCAAAATAACTGGGGTGTGTCACCATTTCTCTCCACGTTTAGTCTCCAATTAGTCAGACTTTAAAACAAACAAAAGGAAATAGCCAGGGTTCAATCAATCCAGACAGGGAGCAGTATAGCCCAAGGCTGGGAGCCCAAGGCTGGGGGCCCAAGGGCTGGGGGTCCAGGGCAGGAAGCCTCTAGGAGGGCAGCCATAGGGCCTGCGTGGCTGGACACACAGGGGCGCACCACGCACAGAACAGGCAGCTGCGGGATGTGGAAGACCCCTGGTGGCAGGCACCTCACTAGAGAGAGGGAATGACCTGGAGCTGCCTGGGTGCGCCTGGACCCTCGATGACCACGGCATCCCTGGAGGAGCCATGTAGGGAAAATAGGGACGGCAATGCCTTCTTTGGAGACTGGGGTGTGGACGAGTTTTACGCCGTGAAGACATGCAGCCCTACACCTGGCCCATGGGAGTGCTGCAAGGGGAAGAAGGAACAGTCACCGAGACACTTGCCCACCCACACTCCGCCCTGTGGGCCCAGAACAGGTGGCCAGCAGGTGGCCTGGGACCTCGATGCCCCTCGGGCAAGCAGCATCGGCACAGGGAGGTGCAGGGAACCAGGGTCTGCCTGTCTCCCCTGCTCCACTTTCTCCAGTCCGCATCCCTCAGCAAGCCCCCCGTCCCAGCACCCCAGCAAGATGAGGTGGCCCTCAGCTTGGTGCAGGCCTGTGCCGGGTCCTCTGCTGGGGGTCCGGGCTCTGAGGACGGTCTTGGGTGGCTTGGGCTCCCTGCCTCTGCTAGAGAACAGGAAGACGGAGTCCTGTCCATGCTCCCCACAGCTCCATCTGGGCGGGTGGGAGCTAGAACACCCTGGAGTCTGGAAGCCAGTGTGCTGGTCACGGCTTTGCCAGGCCCGGCGGGCATTCTGTCTCTCACAGCCACAAAGGGCTTGGCAGACCTGGGTAGAGGGGGGAGGGAGGAAGGTACCTGCTGTTGTCTGCAAGCCAGGCTCCCCAGGGCACAGGCTGTGTGCAAGGCAGGAGGCCATGCGAGGGCTCTGCCTCCCCAGCGAGGAGGCCTACGGAGGAAGAGAAGCAGGGTTAGCTCGGCTGGTCCAAGTCCTGCTGCTGGACATCACAGGGTGGCAGCCAAGAGCAAGCACTGGTCAGAGCCCGTTCGGTGAGCAGGGAAGGGGCTTTGTCTCCGCCTCTGAGGGCTGGAGGGCATTGGGTGCAGCACACGCCACTAGTGCTGCCTCCCACCCAGGATGGTTTGCAGGGTGAAGGCTGTTTTGCCCCAGGCAGGACATGCATTGTGTGACACTGAAAACTGCCCACAAACAGGCCTCTGTCTGACCCATGCTGCAACCGGACGAAGCTCAAGAACAGCATGCGCTGGGGGGGAAGCCAGACACCAACGGCCACAGCGGAAGGTCCACCGACACAGAATGTCCAGAACAGACCAATCCACAGACAGAAAGGGGCTCGTGGGGGCCAGGAGCCAGGGAAAGGGATGGTGGGAGAGTGACTGCTAATGGGGATGACAGAACGTTTTAGATTAGAGTCAAAAGCTGCATGACCGTGGATACATTAAAAATCAATGAATTACAAACTTTAAAGCAGGTGTATTTTATGTTTTACAAATTACATCAATTTTTTTTTATAAAAAGGCCAAGAAAACCATAAGTTATCATTATTACAATGTTCAATCTCTCTCTCTCTCTCTCTCCCTCTCTCTCTTTCTTTTTGAGACAGAGCCTTGCTCTGTCACCCAGGCCGGAGTGCAGTGGCACAATCTCGGCTCACTGCAACCTCTGGTCCCAGGTTCAAGTGATTCCCCTGCCTCAGCCTCCCGAGTAGCTGGGACTACAGGTGTGCACCACCACGCCCAGGTAATTTCCGTATTTTCAGTAGAGACGGAGTTTTACCAAGTTGTCCCAGGCTGGTCTCGAACTGTTGACCTCAAGTGATCCGCCAGCCTCAGCCTCCCAAAGTGTTGCGTGAACACCCACAGGAACCCACTACATCGCTCGTGTACATAAACACAAAAACCCTCAACAAAATACTGGCTAACTGAATCCAGCAACATATAAAGACGATCATAAGACATGAACAAGTAAGATTTATCGCAGGGATGCAAGACTGATTCAACACCAAAACTCAGTTACTATAATACACCACATCAATAAAATAAAAAAAACAAAACAGGATCATCTCAACACGTCCAGTTCAACAGAATACAACACCCTTTCATAATGAAAAATACCCAACAAACCGAGAACAGAAGGGAATGTCTCAACCTGACAAAGACCATCTAAGGAAAACCATACTCAGCACTGCCCTCAGCGGTGAAAGGCTGGATGCACTCTCTAAGCCACCACGTGTATTCTCACCTCTCACGCGCCAAGGAGAGCTGCAGGATGCAGTCAGTGCAAGAACATGAAATAAAAAGAACCAAGACTGGTAACGAAGCCAGGCATGGGGGCTGATACCTGTAATCCCAACACTTTGGGAGGCCAAGGCAGGTGGATCACCTGAGGTCAGGAGTTCAAGACCAGCCTGACCAACATGGTGAAACCCTGTCTCTATTTGGTGAAACCCTGTCTCTATTAAAAAGAAAAGAGAATAACCCAATAGATGCAATAAAAAATGATAAAGGGGATATCACCACAGATTCTACAGAAATTCAAAACATCATCAGAGATTATTATAAACAACTCTAGGCACATAAACTAGCAAACCTGGAAGAAATGGATAAATTCCTGGACACTTGCATCCTACCAAGCCTAAACCAGGAAGAAGATGAAACCCTGAATAGACCAATAACAAGGTCTGAAGTTGAGGCAGCAATTAAGAGTCTACCACCCCAAAAAAGGCCCAGGTCCAGATGGGTTCACAGCCGAATTCTACCAGACTTACAAAGAGGAGCTGGTACCATTCCTTCTGAAACTATACCAAAGAATCCAAAAAGAGGGAATTCTTCCCAAATCATATGAGACCAATATCATCCTGATACCAAAACCCAGCAGAAACTCAGCAAGAAAAGAAAACTTCTGACCAATATCCATGATGAACAGAGATGCAAAAATCTTCAATAAAATACTGGAAAGCCGATTGCAGCACATCAAAAAGCTTATCCACCATGATCAAGTAGGATACATTGTGGGGATACAAGACTGGTTCAACATATGCAAGTCTATGAGCATAATTTACCACATAAACAGAAGCAAAGACAAAAACCACATGATTATTTCAATTGATGCAGAGAAGGCCTTTGACAAAATGCAACATCCCTTTATGCCAAAAGCTCTCAATAAACTAGGTATTGACAGAACATATGTCAAAATAATAAAAGCCATTTACCACAGATCAACAGCCAATATCATACTGAATGGGCAAAAACTGGAAGCATTTCCTTTGAAATCTGGCACTAGACAAGGATGCCCGCTCTCACCACTCCTATTCAATATAGTACTGGAAGTTCTAGCTAGAGCAATCAGGCAAGAAAAAGAAATAAAGGGTATTCAAATAGGAAAGGAGGAAGTCAAATTGTCTCTATTTGCAGATGACGTGATTGTATATCTAGAAGACCCCATTATCTCAGCCCAAATGTCCTGAAACTGATATGGAACTTCAGCAAAGTCTCAGCATACAAAATCAATGTGTAAAAATCACAAGCATTCCTATACACCAATAACAGACTTAAAGAGAGCCAATTCAAGAACGAACTGCCATTCACAATTGCTACGAAGAGAATAAAATACCTAGGAATACAACTAACAAGGAATGTAAAGGACCTCTTCAAGGAGAACTATAAACCACTGCTCAACAAAATAAGAGAGGACACAAACAGATGGAGAAACATTCCATGCTCATGGTTAGAAAGAATCAGTATCATGAAAATGGCCATACTGCCCAAAGTAATCTATAGATTCAATGCTATCCCCATCAAGCTACCAATGACCTTCTTCGCAGAACTGGAAAAAACCACCTCAAACTTCATATGGAACCAAAAGAGAGCCCGCATAGCCAAGTCAATTCTAAGCAAAAAGAACAAAGCGGGAGGCATCACACTACCAGACTTCAAACTATACTACAAGGCTACAGTAATCAAAACAGCATGATACTGGTACCAAACCAGAGATATAGACCAATGGAACAGAACGAGGTCTCGGAGGCAACACAACATATCTACAACCATTCGATCTTTGACAAGCCTGACAAAAACAAGCAATGGGGAAAGGATTCCCTGTTTAATAAATGGTGTTGGGAAAACTTGCTAGCCATGTGCAGAAAGCAGAAACTGGACCCCTTCCTGACACCTTACACTAAAATTAACTCCAGATGGATTAAAGACTTAAACATAAGACCTAACACCATAAAAACCCTAGAAGAAAATCTAGGCAAAACCATTCAGGACATAGGCGTAGGCAAGGACTTCATGACCAAAACACCAAAAGCATTGGCAACAAAAGCCAAAATAGACAAACAGGACCTAAGCAAACTCCACAGCTTCTGCACAGCAAAAGAAACAGTCATTAAAGTGAGTCAGCAACCAACAGAATGGGAAAAAATTTTTGCAGTCTACCCATCTGACAAAGGGCTGATATCCAGAATTTACAAAGAACTAAAACAGATTTACAAGAAAAAAACAAACAAGCCCATTCAAAAGTGGGCAAAGGATATGAACAGACACTTTACAAAAGAAGACATACATGAGGCCAACAAACATATGAAAAAATGCTTATCATCACTGGTCACTAGAGAAATGCAAATCAAAACTACATTGAGATACCATCTCATGCCAGTTAGAATGGCGATCATTAAAAAATCTGGAGACAATGGATGCTGGAGAGGATGTGGAGAAATAGGATCACTTTTACACTGTTGATGGGAGTGTAAATTAGTTCAACCATTGTGGAAGACAGTGTGGCGATTCCTCAAGGACCTAGAAATAGAATTCCATTTGACCCAGCAATCCCATTACTGGGTATATATCCAAAGGATTATAAATCGTTCTACTATTAGGACACATGCACATGAATGTTCACTGCAACACAGTTTACAATAGCAAAGACCTGGAACCAACCCAAATGCCCATCGATGATAGACTGGACAGGGAAAGTGTGGCACATATACACCATGGAATATTATGCAGCCATCAAAAACGATGAGTTTGTGTCCTTTGTAGGGACATGGATGAACCTGGAAACCATCATTCTCAGCAAACTGACACAAGAACGAAAAATCAAACATCGAATGTTCTCACTCATAGGCAGGTGTTGAACAATGAGAACACATGGACACAGTGAGGGGTGCATCACACACTGGGGTCTGTTGGGGGGAAATAGGGGAGGGACAGCGGTGGGTGGGGAGTTGGGGAGAGATAGCATGGAGAGAAATGCCAGATATAGGTGATGGGGAGGAAGGCAGCAAGTCATACTGCCAGGTGTGTATTTATGCAACAATCTTGCATGTTCTTCACATGTACCTCAAAACCTAAAATGCAATTAAAAAAGAAAAAAAAAGTACATCCATGCAATGGAATGCTATGCATCAAGAAAAAGGGGTGGCCTACAAAGCCATGCAAAGACATAGATGAATCTGATATACATATTGCTAAGTAAAAGAAGCCAGTCTGGGCAGGGAGTGGTGGCTCACGCCTTTAACCCAGCACTTTGAGGCCGGGGTGGGTAAATCACCTGAGGTCAGGAGTTGGAGACTAGCCTGACCAACATGGTAAAACCCCGTCTCTACTAAAAAATACAAAAATTAAAAAAAAAAAAAATTAGCTGGGCATGGTGGTGGGTGCCTGTAATCCCAGTTACTCAGGAGGCTGAGGCAGGAGAATCACCAAACTCTGAAGGCAGAGGTGGCAGTGAGCCGAGATCACACCATTGCACTCCAGCCTGAGCGACAGAGTGCTGCTGCTTCTTTTCTTTTTCCATCTCAGAAGAAGAT